ACTACAAATCAAAAATATACTTAATAAAAATAAAGTTTTTAATTAACTGTTTGTAACCTTTATATTTTATTTATTTAGGTCGCAACAGTGGAATGAACCACTAACTATTAAAAGTATATGTTTTACGCAGCGGATGCCCTTCCAGCTGCAACCCAGTCCTGGGGAAAAGGCAAGGCAAGTTTATTCATATAGTAAATTTCAGTACACAGTGGCAATTCTAAGTGCTTTACATACACGGGTATAAAAAGACAAGTATAAGAAAATAAAAACAATTGATAAAAATGATTAAAAACAGATTAAAATGTGTTAAAAACAGGTTATAAAACAGTGAAAAAGAACAATAGTGCGATCTGTCAGACATATCACAGTGCACAATCAGTAAAGGCACAGCAAAACAGATGTGTTTTCAGTCTTAATTTGAACGTGCCTTATGTTGGAGCACATCTGATCATTTCTGGAAGCTGATTCCAGCAGCGAGGGGCATAGTTGCTGAAAGCCGATTCTCCCTGCTTTGACTGAACTCTTGTAATTTCTAGTTTATATGATCCTAATCTGTTGATCTGTTGGGTTTGCATTTAGTCAGCATATCTGTAATACTGTAATACTGTACTGAGGTCCTAGGCCATTTAGTGATTTATAGACAAGTAATAATACTTTAAAATCTATTCTGAATGTAACTGGGAGCCAGTGTAAAGACTTGAGGACAGGTGTGATGTGCTCGGAGTTTCTGGTTCTGGTCAGAATCCTGGCCGCAGCGTTCTGGATGAGCTGCAACTGTCTGACTGTCTTTTTGGGAAGGCCGGTGAGGAGGCTGTTACAGTAATCCACCCTGCTGCTGATAAAAGCATGAACAAGTCTTCACTGGAAACAAAGCATCTAAGTTTTGCAATTTTTTGAGATGAAAGTATGCTCATTTGCTAACTGCTCTGACATGACTATTGAAACACAGATCTGATTCCAGAGTCCTACCAAGATTGACCTTATTTTTTGTTGTTTGAACCTTAAAGCCAAGATATGATTTCACCTTGAGAACCTCATCCCTGTTCCCAAACGCAATGACTGCATAAACACACTCATTCACACACAACAGTCATTTACTACATCCACTAATTTAGTATTCAATTCACCCATAGCGCATATTTTTGGACTGTGGGAGAAACCGGGAGGAAACCCACACTAATATAGACATGACATGATAACCGTTTTTAAGGTATATTGCAGTTTGGAAAAGTCAAGGTTTTAAAACTGCCAAAATTTTCTGTTGAAAATGTTCAGATTTTAATATTCACGTTTGTTTGTTTTATAGGACAAGTATCTCCAGCAGAAAAGCTATACAAAGAGGCCATTTTTAATTGTAAAGAAATCTGTGTTTTTGAAACTAATGAAGACAGCAGAAGTCAATAATTCATTTGAATTATTCATGACATAATTACTGTTCCAAAATATTTTAAATGTTTCTTTAAATAAAATATATTGGCTGCGTTAGAAATCGCCTACCATTCAGTAGGTTCTACATTTAAATTAAAATTTACAACTCGACCGTAAGAAAAGTACGTTCTATACAGTATAAATATGCAGGTCTTGAAATTGCGACCGTTTTGGTAGCATATGCGGCCGAATTTTATCTATGCAACCTCAAAATTTATTTCGGAGCATTAGTGCAAGTGCATATAATTGTTGTCGTGCGACCAGTTTTCACAGCAAAATGTTCACCACATGCGCAGAATTAGAAGGCATTCACCCATTACGCATCTTTGCACCTAAAAACCCCAAACGCAGCGGTCAGGAATGGTTTAAACAGTTGACATGTCAACTTGCTGCTGTAAACAAAGCTCTTCTTATTGGCTCACTGCGCTAGAACAGAACGAGAATGGATTGGTTAATGTCAGCTGTCAGTTCTGATACGAGAGAATGAACACAACACTGACAGATGTAGTTTTAGAAACCACCTAAAGTTACAAATAATGACACGTCTGATTAGTGATCGTGTCATGAATGTCAATCCACCATATAAACTTTTCAAAGAGGGGATAAAAGACTTCCAGTGTTTAAAGTCTGCTATGAAAATGACTAAAGCATTCACTATAAAGCCGGACGTGGAACGGAGTTTTCAGGGAACAGTGTTTGCCACAGAATCTTCACATTAAGCACGAGATGTTCTAACATTATTTAATCGTCACAATGCTGTCAGTCGTGCAACTGATATTCCATGGAATCACCATCAAGCATGCATTCTCTGAGATGACACTAATATTGCAGCTCATGAAAAGACCGTTATTGCAATTAAGATGACATATGCATATAATAAGTTATATGTCAATATCATCTGTGCAATATCAGACATATCAGTTCATCTCATTCACGCCAAGCAGTACATTCGTGCAGCTGGCCGGTGAGCGCATGCAGATTTTTGTTTATTTATTACTTGTTATTAGTGTTGAATATATAATAGAATCTGTTAATATAAAACGTGCTGTTTAAATGATTTTTGGTGGCTGCGACTACATGTTGTCTGGTGCGCCTACATTTTTTAAGTTAGGAGCACCGGTGCTACCAAGCAAAAAGGTTATTTTAAGCCCTAATATGAGTAGTATGAATGGAACTTGGACATACTACAGATGCCATTTTGTCATCATCACATGATCTACCATCGTCAGTTTCGTCACTTCACTCCCAATCATAAATTCTCTCACGCTGCATCATGGGATCACGTAGTGTCCATTGGATGCACACTTCAGAATCTCACAAGAAGTAGTAAGTCATCTAGGTATATCTCGCATACTGATTTTCGAATTATATAATTTAGGACAAACTACACGGCTCGCATAATGTTTTTAGGGGTGTCAAAATGAATTGTTTCTTTGGTGCACCGCGATGCAAACGCAGACAATTCGGTATCGGTTCAGTAATAATCATTCATTCATTCATTCATTCATTCATTCATTTTCTTGTCGGCTTAGTCCCTTTATTAATTCGGGGTCGCCACAGCGGAATGAACCGCCAACTTATCCAGCAAGTTTTTACGCAGCGGATGTCCTTCCAGCCGCAACCCATCTCTGGGTTCCACACACACACTTATACACTACGGACAATTTAGCCAACCCAATTCACCTGTACCGCATGTCTTTGGACTGTGGGGGAAACCGGAGCACCCGGAGGAAACTCACGCGAAGGCAGGGAAAACATGCAAACTCCACACAAAAACGCCAACTGAGCCGAGGTTCGAACCAGCTACCCAGCGACCTTCTTGCTGTGAGGCGACAGCACTACCTACTGCGCCACCGCCTCGCCCTCAGTAATAATCATGACCGGTTTATTACAACACACCAGGCTACTTAAAAACGCAGAAACTGTGCACAATTTCACTGCGTGTGTGTGTGTGTGTGTGTGTGTGTGTGTTTTCTGGACAGTCTTTCACTGACACAGCAGAAGCCCCTATTTCTCTGCGATTGAGGAAATGAAAGTGAACTAATTTCTCTCTCTCTCTCTCTCTCTCTCTCACTGTGGCCCATTTCATCTGCTGGCGTAATTTTTCCTCTCGGCTGCTGGCATGACTTTTCCTCGCCTCTCTTTTCCGCTCGGCTATTACAGCGATACTTCTGGATATAGGTCTGCACCCGACCAGATTTCATGCGTCGTGGGAATAAATTTCCGAATAAAGCGCGGGAGTGGTTGGTAACTCTGGTGTAATTTGGTGGGGGGTCTCACAATATCGCTCCCGAGCGAGCAAGCTGTTTGGTGCGGTCTATGTGTGTATGTGTGTGAATAAAAGACAGCGTGATGCTGTGTGTCTATGTGTGTGTGTGTGTGTTTATACAGACAGCTTGTTATAGCTGACAAAGCTGTAACAACCCCCAGACATTTAAAAAAATAAATACATTTAAAAAAATATATATATTTTTTTTTTTTAAAAAAGAGTATATTTTAGAGTAATCAGTAGTAATCACAATACCATGAAATTGTGGAATTTTTAACCAAGGTTATTATACTGTCAGTAACTTATACAGCCCACGCCAATGCCAACATGGGGAGAACATGCAAACACTACAAAGAAATGCCAACTGGCACAACCAAAACTCCAACATTCTTGTAACCTTCTTGCAGTGAGGTGACAGTGCTAACCACTGAGACACCATGCCGCCCCATACTAATATATTTATTTAATGTGGTACAATACATCTAGCTGTAGAAAAAGTCCAACAGGTTAAATTCTATGCGACTGTTTTACTTTATGTTCAGGGGCAACATTGACACAGCTTCATTCTCCAAACAATAGATAAATTAATAAAAAGCATTTAAAACACATAACAAAAATATTAATATTATTATACAAATCTTGTTCTTATATGTCTCACTTGTTTAACTAACAAATATTAAATCACAAAGTTTATTTGTTCATTTATGTTAAAAGCATGTAATACAAAATTCATATAAATATTATATGCAAACTGAATAAATCTTATTTTTGAGTGTATGATTTGGGATGTCTATGTTAGGGAAAAAGACTATCTTAAGTTCTGTTTCATGGTAATTTTAACCATGCGGAATTATCACCATATTGGCATATCCGCTTCATTCCTTTAACTAGAGTCAATTCGGTGACCCCTTATACATTTACCTCAAACATACTCCACATACAGTTACAATAAATAGTTATAATATATTCTGTGTGTGTGTGTGTGTGTGTGTGTGTGTATATATATATATATATATATATATATATATATATATATATATAATTTATTTATTTTTTAATCTTACTATTGAGTACCATTTATGACCTCCTGACAATACCTAAAATGTTTTTGCAGAAAACTGACATGCTCGAGCTTGCCTGAAGTGTTCCAGACACAGTTTAGTACTAAATAAGTTAAAGGAGTGTTCCCCACATCTTGCGTTGAGATTAAGCTGTTCGAACGCAGTGAGCCTGAACAGTGAATCATAACCAGGACACTCTGAAAGTTCAGTTTCGGACAGGACTGACTGACTGACTGACTCACCCTGCGCCGAAACATTCCTGACGAGCAGCAGCAGAAAACTCCCTGCCAACAGCCCAACCTGCTGGATCATCTCCGGGATGGGCTCAATCTGCACCTCTACCCTCAACCAGAAGGGGCTGATGCTCCGGGTAGGGTGGAGCAGAGCGATCAATAAATCATCTCCAGGATCAAAGAATAAAAACAGTCCTATCTGCCTCTTGCAAGCTGCAAAAGAAGAGTGAAAACGTCTGTTAGAGAATTTGAAACTGCTCTGCAAATCTGATCGTTTACTAGTTTAAAATGCAAAACCACAACCAGAAAGGAACTGTTTTAATATAGGGAACTATTCAGCTCACTCTTTTTTTTGGTTATGATCTCGGATATTAAATTTCGGAATAAAATAGAAATTAAAAAAGACATTGGTCTATGCACTGGTTCACTGGAAAATGGGAAAGATAGTATTTAATTTTACAACATTTTCAAAGATACAACCATGGACCAAGGTATCAGTGGAGCTCTTTATGTGTCAAAAGTATTTTTGTAAAATGATCTATGGGGATATATCATGTCAAAAAGTCTTTTTATAATTTGTTTTACATCCAATGTATTTCTACAAAATTAATAATTCTCAGTGGGGCTGGAACTAACAATTATTTTAATAATCTAATAATCTGTCAATTTTTTTTGATTAACCGATGAATCGGATTTTTAAAAAGAGCATTCATTTCCAACCCTTAATTCAACAACAGAACTAAAACCTTTAGAAAGTGCACAAACATGCTGTCCTTGAACATTCTTAAGCTGTTATATTATTAATAATTTTAAAAACTTAGTAGTTTTGTCCTGTTTTCAATCTAAATATCTAAAAAAATCTTAAATCAAAATACATACTAGACACAAAGTAGCATAAGAAATTATGTCTTGTTTTATAAAAAAAAAACACCTCCAAATTAAGTGATTGTTTGCTTAAAACAAGCTAAATTATTTGTCAATGTGGTAAGAAAAATAATCTTAATGAGATATAATCTCAAACAGAAGATAAGCATCACTTAAGTTTCTCATGCCATTTTACTTGTCTAGTAATCTTAATTAAAAATTTGTTTTTAATATTTGGACTGGAAACGAGACAAAATGAGTAAGAAAAGCTTTTTTTGTAGTTTAGCTATACATGAAAAAGGCGAGTGAATAAAAACATGTCTTAAGTCTTGCAATGCAAAGTAACTATAACACCGCTTCGTTCCTTCTATTATTAACCCTTTCACTGGTGAGTTTCAAAGATTCTATCTGTAACTGGGAGTGAGTTTTTTTTTTTTTTTTGTTTAGCTGTGTCCTTTGAACACTGTGTAAGTGTGTATGAATGACAGATCACACTATTTTGTCCAGTGTGTGAATTATTGATGATGGGAGGGGGGCATCTTCGATAATAATATTTTGTGTAATACATGCTTCAAATGTATGTATTTATTTAAACTACATCTTACTTATTGATAAAATACATTTAAATTTTCAGAGCTTTGTGAGATATTTAGTATATTCTGACCTAATTAGCTATTTTCGGCTTACTTTAGGTCAAACTATACAAACTACACATCTAATTTTGCCTTAATGTAGAAACAAACATCTATTTTATGAGAAATCAGTCTTGTGAACTCTTATGGTGCCCTAAATCTGCCGGTTTTAAACTGTTTAATGATTTTTTTTCCTCGCTTAGACTGATTCACAATGGTATGAACCGTTTAAAGGGTAGTCAAATGAATGCCTATTATTTTAATTATTAACTTTATTTTTTTAAATACAGATTAGATTGAACTTTTTCTCAGATTCAAAGGGACCCCCTCATACATCTTGGTTTGGTGTCCTTTTGGGGGGATCACACCTTAATTGGGGAGGTGGGGGGTCCGTCCCCACCAAACCCCCACTGAAATTCACACCCGGATTCCATTTTTCATTGCTTTTATCCTCGTTTCTTTTATCCTCGTTTATGTAAAGCACTTTGAATTACCATTGTGTGTGAAATGTTCTATACAAATAAACTTGCCTTGAAAAAGAATTAATTATGGTTTTTCTTGCTGTGTGGCTCATGTGTAGTTTAAATCTCAATAAAATTATTGATTTCAGCAGCACTAAATACATACAGTAAAATTATATCAAAGTAAAGTTATTTTAGTGGGATTAATACTTCTGAGAAGAATATGTTTGCTTTTAAATACCATACAATCACATATTGAAACACAATTTGTCATCAATATTGAAGTATTTATATTTGTGAGATTTGTGTGTAATTATACATTTTAAATAATTTTCACATCTTCAATTAATTAAAATGGAGCAAATAATACAGTGATGCCAAAGTAAACACATGGCACCATTTCACAACCACTCATTAATGAAAAGTCATTGATCAGATACAAAGGTTTTGGCAGAAACATAAGTCATTACTGTTTAATATGAATACATTAGCATGTTGAATTCTTTACGAGGTTTAAAAATATAATTGTGTAACTTATTTCCAGGTTAGACATATTCAAGATGTAAATGAAAACTGTTTAATATAGGTATAGCAGCTAATCATAGAACCATGTTTATTTTCTTGATCCACTTCACACGACAAGCACATTCATCCAGCTTATTTGTGTTGCTAAGCAAACAATTCGTGTCACATAAACAAAACACAAACTCATAACGTTACCTGTATGTTCACCTTCATAATCCTCGAATATTTTCCGACTGTATGTAAACTAAATGTCCAGTAGATCCACCACAGGTCGCTTCCGCCTCACCTTACTGGTGAAATGAAGTATTTAAACCGAATCTAGCTCGACACCCCGGCGTCCTGCGCATAATAACGCATTGTCCTTCGAGATCCTGTCCTGCTTTTTTCAAAGGTGGTCTTGTGCGCCTGGTATTTACCAGTTGTATTGAGTGAACGTTCGAGCTGGCTTCTTCTTCCTAAATTCTCATTGCTGATCACATGGTTCAGTGTCGTGTTACAACACCTGAGTCCAGCTACTACCTGTGGCGCGGCACAGACGAGCTATTGTGCACACAGATCCACCTGCGCGCTCACTGGATAGATGCTCTCACTCACGTCCGCTCTCAGCATGACTTAACTTTTTTTGTTTCATCTTTGATCTCTTGCACACTTGAATATTTTAAGGATGTCTGGAGTTTGAGGTTTTGGAAGACATATTTAAGTGGTAGAATGTTTATTTAAATAACAAACACTCTTTTTATTACATTATCAACGAATTCCGTTTGAGGTGTTTCAGTCTTGCGACCTCCAGTGGTTGTCAATGAACTTTTAATCTTATAAGAGAAAAATTCTTGACATACCAAAGTTCTGTTAATCCTTTCCCTACTTTTGGGGGAATTATTAACCACTTCGTAGCTGTCGCTTCGTTGATGAGGATCCACACGCAAAAAGAAGGAAGTTGCCCACTGATATGTTCCTCATATAACTTTTTTTACATAAAATGTTTATATAAATGTGTATTTTTATGTGTTAAAAGCAGAGATGTATAAAGTACTAGAGACCCATACTTAAGTAAAAGTACAAGTACTCTATCAAAAATTGACTTGAGTAGAAGTAGAAGTGCTCTTTAAGCACCATACTTAAGTGGAAGTACTAAAGTATTCAACATTTTTAGTACTTAAGTATTGCAAGTAGTTTATTTCAAAATTTACTACTCAAGTACTGAAAGTAAAAGTACAAGTATTGTGTAATGTAGTTATTAAAGAAAGTCAAAGTCAAAAGACATCATATTGTTTTGTTTATTTTAAATATCTTTTTTGGGGACACTTGATTAAGCAGAACGAAAAGAAACATGGCTTATGATACTGTTTTTCTTTGTAAATAGTTTATATGGTACAAGAACTCACAACGTCAGGCCCTTTTGCCAGAAAATCCTCTCACTGATGAGATTATTCAGCATGTTCACTCACATACATACTCTCTCTCTCTCTCTCTCTCATACACACACACACACACACACACACACACACACACGTACACTGCCCTGCACACACCTAAATGTATACTCTCACACATTCATACACTCTCTCTCACACACACACACACACACACACACAGTTCTCTCGCTATCTCTCTCTCTCTCACACACACACATTTTTGTGAATTGTGGGGACATTACATAGGTTACGATTGTTTTTATACTCTACAAACTGTACTTTCGATTGCTCTAACCCCAAATCCAACCTCTAAATCCAAACCTTACAGGAAATTATGTGTAGTTTTACTTTCTGAAAAAAAAAAAACATTTAGTGTGATTAAATTTTATAAATAATATCCACATAATTCACCATCTCCTCATAACATCCGTGTAATACCGATGTTGTTATACATATACATGGGCACACACAAACACATATAAATACACTCTTTTACACTCTCATACACTCTCTCTTACACACACACAGGTACAATCACACAGTTTCTCTCTTACACACATTATTCACTTTCACTCACACTCACACACACACAAACACACACTCACACTTTGGGAGTTTTGAAGTTTGATTGGTTAATATCACAATAAACAGGAGTTCTGTCTTCTGGAAGCACTCGTGAAACTAAACTAAACCAGCAAACTAAATCCTGTTGCACTAATTCCCTTGATTTGGATTTTTTTGTAAAAAAAAAAAAAACAACAACAGGAAAGTGTGTATATTACTGTGTTTAATGAAAATCTGAAATATTTCATGGCTTATGGCTATGATTTAGTTTAATTTTTTTATTGTTTTTAATTAAATTTGTCTTACACTTAATATTTTCTGTAGTATATTTATTAATTCTGGTACTTTTACCATAAACCAACATCTTAACCATTTGGTAGAGGCTGATATTTTAGAAATTATGGGATGTGTTGAGAAAAAAAATGCATTGATTGTGTTAAATTAGCGACATTAGGAGAAATGCAATCAAAAAAATTCTATTGCTGTTGTCTTGGTGTGACAGTTAAAGGATTTTTTGTAATACAATTTCGTTCTTTAATACAGCAGTCAGATATATGAACCGTACCTTTAATTTGACCAAACAAAACTCATGCACAGAAGACTGCATGAGCATTTACAGCTAATAAACTCATGTCAATATTATCCCGCCTGCTTTTTGAGCACTGACAGGCGAGGTCTTATGATTGGTTACTTTTCACCTGCTCAACAGAAAGGGCTTTAGAAATGAAGCGCTGTTCAGCCATGGCGGGAAGAATACGCGATTATCACAGGTAATAGACACAGTGGAGAAAACTTGCACATCAGACACATCGTGTCTGGATGGATCCACAGCTTTAACAGCCGAGAAGAGAGGAAAAGTTACCTTACAAACAGGCCAGCGGGTCAAATGTCCAAAGTGAGAAAGAGAGAGGCAGAGGCGAAGTTTTACAACATTTCTCCATAATAGTGAAATAGCGGCTTGTGTGCTGTGCCGCCTCACCGCGCCTCCGTCCTCCGCCATAGTATTGCGACATCGCGCATAGGAGATAAATGACGTCATCACGTAATAACCGTTTATGATCTATTACTGAACTGATATCGATCATTTTGACACCCCTAGTAACGAGTAACGATGCAGCACATAAAAAATCTATCGGAGTAAAAGTATTAAACTCATGGAAAATATGTACTTAAGTAAAAGTGGAAGTAGGAGAAAAAAATAATACTCCAGTAAAGTACAGATACTGCCTTTTAGTACTTAAGTACAGTAGTGAAGTAGTTCTACTTCGTTACTATACATCTCTGGTTAAAAGTGCATTTATTTTTATAGAAATTGAAAATGTATTGAAAATATATATAATAAAACATGATAATAGGCTATATGGATATTTGTACGTTAATTAATGAGCACTACTTCCAGTTATTAATTATTTAATTTATTTGTATTAAATAATTGTTCCTTCATTTATGTTTTACACAGCGAATGTCTTTTCAGCTGCAACCCATCTTTGGGAATTAATTAATAAATTAATTAATTAATTTATTTATTTATTTATTTATTTATTTATTTATTTATCTTCTCTTGTTTAATCCTTGTTGTTAAAACATGTGAAATGCTTTTGCTGTATAATGAAACTGCACACGTTTGTTCTTGTTAATAAAACATTTAAAAAGGTATGACAAATAAAGATTATTTAGCAGCGGGACAAGGCAGTGGCGCAGTAGGTAGTGCTGTCGCCTCACAGCATGAAGGTTTCTGGGTCGCTGGTTCGAACCTTGGCTCAGTTGGCGTTTCTGTGTGGAGTTTGTATGTTCTCCCTGCCTTCGCGTGGGTTTCCTCCAGGTGCTCCGGTTTCCCCCACAGTCCAAAGAAATGCAGTTCAGGTAAATTGGGTAGGCTAAATTGTCCGTAGTGTATGAGTGTATGATTGTGTGTGTGTGTGAGAATGTGTGTGTGGATGTTTCCCAGAGATGGGTTGCAGCTAGAAGGGCATCCGCTATGTAAAAACTTGCTGAATAAGTTGGCGGTTCATTCCGCTGTGGCGACCCCGGATTTATAAAGGGTCTAAGCCGACAAAAAAATGAATGAATGAATGAATTCTGTGCTTTCATCAATGTTATACTTTTTTTTTAAACAATTGTATACTATTTATTAATTTGTTATATTATGTGTTATTTACAGTTTACATGTAATGAGAATTAGAAATATATTAAAGGGAAAATTAAAAATAATAATAAATCATATGTTTCATTCCATGCTCAGCTTATTTTAGCTGGAGAAATAAAGGGTATTTGGTAGTTACTTTTTTCCCAGGGATGGATTGCGGCTGGAAGGGCATCCACTGCGTAAAAGCTTGCTGGATGGGTTGATGGTTCATTCCGCTGTGGCGACCTCGGATTAATAAAGGGACTAAGCCGACAAGAAAATGAATGAATGAATGGTAGTTACTTTGCAACAAGGAAAACAACATAATAATTAAAAATGTACAATGTAAACAACTATAATAATAATAATAATAATAATAATAATAAAAATATTAATAAAATAATAATAATATTTGCTACATTTTAAGCATATATAATTAGTAGTAAATACTTCATAATTTATTGATTTACAAATTAAATGAAACATTCATATATTTGTGTTCAACTGTGTTTTATTATTTTACTGTTTTAATTATTACAATATTTTTTGCCAATTAAAACCCACTGAAGTTCTTTCATTTACTCTAGTTTGCAAAATCCCGGCTATTTATTTATTTATTTATTTATTTATTTATTTACTGATTTATTTATTTTATCTTTATTTATCTTATCGTTTCTTGTTTAATCCTTGTTGTTAAAACGTGAAATACTTTTGTTAAAATGAAACTGCACATTTTTGTTCTTGTTAATAAAACATTTAAAAAGGTATGATGAATAAAGATTATTTATTTTAGTAGCTTTTGTAAAATATTTAAACAATTCTGTGCTTATATCAATGTTCTACTTTTTTAATCAATTATGTATTAAGTTGTTATATTATTGGTTGTTTTCAGTTTACATTCAGTGAAAATTAAAATATTAATGGGAACAATAAAATTTAAAAAATCATATATTTCATTCCATAGTTTTTTTTAGCTAAAGAAATAAATAGTATTTAGTAGTAACTCTGCAACAAGGAAAATTACAACATAATAATAAAAAATGTACAGTATCAACAACTATAATAATAATAAAAACAATTGCTACGTTTTAAGTATACATAATTTCAGTAAATATTTCATAATTTATTGATTCACAAATAAAATAATATATTCATATATTTGTGTTCAACTGTGTTTTATTATTTTACTGATTTAATTAGTACATTTTATTTGCCAAGTAAAACCCACTGAAGTTCTTTTATTGTTAAACATGTGAAATACTTTTGCTGTATAATGAAACTACACATATTTGCTCTTGTTAATGAAGCATTTTTGAAAGATAAAATTTTCAGATTAAATGTAAATTCTGTGCTTTTATCAATATTATTCTTTTAAAATAATTTTTACTCAATTGTATATGATTAATTAAATTGTTTATATTATGTTCTATATTTATCATGTTGTTGTCATATTATGTGTTGTATTCACGTTATATTCTATAAAACTTTGAAACATTTGATTCACGATCTAAAATAAAATATTAATGGCAAATTAAAAATAAAAACAAAATAAAAGTATTTTATTATTTCCATGCTTATTTTATTTTAACTGAGGAAATTTTTTTATGGTCTTTGGTTTAGTAACTTTGCAACAAGAAAAATTACAACATAATTATTAAAAATGTACAGTAACAACAAAACAATATAATAATAATAATAATAATAATAATAATAATAATAATAATAATAATAATAATTATTATTATTATTATTATTAATAGTAATAATAACAATAATGATGATGATGATGATGATGATAACAACAACAATAATAATTATAATAATAATAACAATAATAATAATAATAATAATAATAATAATAATAATAATAATAATAAGTGCCACGTTTTAACTATGCATCATTACAAGTAATACTTCACAATGTAAATATTCATATATTTGTGTTCAACTGTGTTTTCTTATTTTTTATTTTTTTAAATATTTTTGTATTTGTATAAATGTACACGTTTATGCATGTAAATGTATAAATGTTATTGCATGCAATAGAATATGTACTGTATAATAATAATAATATTTGATCATTTGTTTGTTTGTTTTGGCCACTTTAAAGTCGAAAAGTTGTTTAAAAAACAATGGCCTTGCGTTTTAACTGGTCTTTTACAACTTGACTACAATGTGTGGGATATCTTGCAAGCACTGTTTATAAACACTCAACTTTAATTGTTTGTCCGACACAATACGGAACGATTTTCGTGAAATCGTGTTGTTTTGATGATGATTGTTGATTGTTATTAAAAAATTCAAACTCATTTGAAGGATGATGAAGCTAGTGAAACTGAACAGAGGAGGAGCGAGGGAGCCGTCCATTTAACAGCTGTCACTGTCGTCCAATCAGCGTTCGTATAATCCGGGCCTTTTTGCCTTTTGACCAATCAGCGCGCCAGCCAATCGGCTTTTCCTGACTGCTTCTGTCTGAATACTCTGGCGGGAGACGAAGCAGCTTGCATTGTCTGTCAGTTTCAGAAACGGGTTTCGCGAAATAATACTTGTTTTACGCTTACACGTTACTCTAGATAATTTTTGCTTTATATTTTCTTTTAATTTGGGAGGAGAGACAACCTAAATCGTTTCGTTCTACCGCTTTAACTAACGTTATATTGGACTTGCAAAACACAATAGCTTGCAAGCTAAACAAGTGAAGCAAAGTCATCGAGAAATTTACTTTACAAATTTCTGTCGAGTTTTCAGTTTTTTTTCGGTTTTGCTTTTTTGAAGGTGTGAACACCCCTTTTCTTGCTAATATAACTTTAGTAGAGTTATGGCAAAAGTACAAGTACTAAATGTGGCAGTCCTGGACAACCCGAGTCCGTTTGGAAACCCCTTTCAGTTCGAGATAACGTTTGAGTGCATGGAGGATCTTCCTGAGGGTGAGTATTAATTTTTCTTTTCCTTTTTAAGAGGGTTTTCTGATGTTTTTTGTTGGCTAGCTAGCCAGCTAACGCGCTAACTCTTTCAGATGACGTCAGAATGGCGGGTGATAGAAGCGTGCACGGAGCTCTGCCGTACATTTATCCTTCACGATTTAAACCAAGCTCATTATGCTCCATTTAACACTTTATCTTGTCCTTTGTAAAGTAAATAGCTTTGTGTGCTTCTGAGAAATACACGACACATGATTGCGTTATGCTAACTTGCTTATGCGTGAAATATTTGTTTAGCTTCCCGGTAAACGCATTTTAAAAACGCAGGTTTTTATTATTATTATAATTTTTTATTCTATCACTATAAATAAACACTTGTCAAAAGTATAAAATAACTATTAAAAGCTTTCAAAGTTTATTTTCTACTTTGCATTTATTTGGTTGAAATACTGTAAAACAATAATTTTGTAAATGTCAATACAATTAAAAATAACCATTTAATTATTTACTGCCAATTTTATGCAGTTTTATAAATTTAAATATTGTTTTACACTAACTTTACTATTTATAGGTTTTGGGTATCAAAATATAATAATAATAATAATAATAATAATGCAACGTTATTATAATGTATGTATATAAATTATAATAATGCAATACTTATTATTGAAAACTGTCAAGTCTGCATGCTTTCTGTTTTTTTTTTCTTCTTAATTTACCATTTTATACGACAGAAGTATTAATAACATTTATTTTTGTATATTTATTCAAATAGTAAATATTTCATTTTTTTAAGTTATAGGGATTTTTCTCAATAATACTTTTCTACTTAAGTGTTTTCTACTTAAGTGTCCTTGACAGCAGAATAGGCTTTTTTAGTATTAATATTATTTTCTTTCCTGATCAGTTGAGCTAATGCATTATAAAAAAAAAAGTTGTATTTTTGTTCTAAACATTTCTTAAGATTACATTTGATATAAATAACTTCAGCCATAAAAAAGCTTGGAATTTTACAAATGCACATTTTTTTTTTTTCTTTTTTCTTTTTTTACAATTTTACAGCTTTAAAATCATCACTTAGCCTGCATTTTTAATATTTTAAAGGTATTTACATTTTTCTTAAACTTTGCTTTACTTCAGTTTAATTTTATGGAAAAGAATTGTCTTATAATCCCTAAAATATATATACTTTTGAATCTTTAGACTTGTTTATTCTTTTTATTATTACTTTGAGAATGACATTCTATAAAATAATAATACATTTGTACACATTTCTAAACCAAAGCATAATTAAACCATTTAATTATTTACTGCCAATTTTAAGCATTTTATAAATTAAAATATATTGTTTTACCCAAAACCTATGAATAGTAAAGTTAGTATCAACATATAATAATAATTATAAATAATAATAATAAGACATTATTATAATATGTTATATGTATATAAATTATAATAATATAATACTTTTTGTTGAAAAGAAAGTGTTTAATCTGCATGCTTTCTGAATTTTCAAATTTTTCTTTTGATTCTACTATTTTGTGAGGCAGAATCTTAAATAAAATTAAAAATTTTTAATTCATTCAAATAGTAAACATTTTTCTTTTTTTTTAAGTCATAGTAATTTTCACAATAATACTTTTCTATTCAAACGTGTCAGAAATTTATCCTTGGTCAGCAGAAGAGGCTTTTTTATTATTAATATTATTTTCCCTCCTGATCAGCTGAGGTAATGCATTATAGCCGCACATTACATAAGATATATGTGCGTTTACCTAAACGTATGTCTGCTTCTGTGTTGTAGATCTGGAGTGGAAGATTATTTACGTGGGCTCGGCAGAAAGTGAGGAGTACGATCAGACTCTTGACTCTGTCCTGGTTGGTCCAGTTCCTGCAGGCCGACACATGTTTGTGTTTCAGGTGAGTTCACGATACTATTCCTGCATAGACAATTATGAAATTTCTACCTCCATCCAGGGGTGACGGAGAATACGTCCCCCTTACTTTAGACACAGACCATTTAGAAACAGCTGGTTAATAATTATATGAATGTAAACTTTTGGATCTCATTCAGCTGTCCCCCACTGTGAAACTGCCTTTATCAAATTGTTCATGTACTTAATTAAATTTAATGTTAGGCCTTTTCTTTGCAGTAAAACTTTTTTAATTTCTCTGTTTATTCAGATACTGACATGATGTAGATTTTTGTATTCCTTTTATCGTTGTATTATTAAATGTATTAAGTTATAATAATTTTTGATAGGGCAAGTGAAAATCTTTTCCAGTTGGGATATTCAAATAAAATCCTTTGCATTTTAGCCTTGTATAAGTCTAAAATTTCATTCATATTGCTCTTAAAATGTCTTGGTCCTAAGTTTAACTTGGTTAAACCTCCAGAAACCCTGATAAAGTGATGGAAGATGTTCAAAGCAGCATGAGTGTCGTGCATACTTTGGTATGTGTAATAATGCTACGCCTCCTAGTGGTGCAGAGTATTAAAAAGGGACAACAATAAAGACAACCCTGTGACTTGGTTATTCCCAGAGTTTAACTGCTGTGAATTGTGAAGAGGAATTTATTTAGACAAACCTTTAAGAAGGGACAGAAAACAAGTGGTTCCAAATAAAATCACAGACTAAACATGCTAACTAACTGAATCTAATCTTATATACCAGGGGTGCCCAAAAAATAAATTATTAAAATTATTTAATTATTATTTAAAATTAAAAATATTGCAATGTGTAATTTTCAAATTTATTTTAGTACAATTTAAAGATAGCTAGAAAACATTGCTTTATTTTAACTGAAAGTTTTTTTTTGTTCACATTTTATAACGAAAAAAAAAAGATTATTGAATGTAGTTACACTGGTTTTTGCCTTGATTTGCTCACTGATGCATTCTCCATAGTCCTCCGCCGAGTGACAGTATTAAAAATTAAGAAAATCAGATTTATTTACATCATTTAATCAAAACAATTCATTTTAATTAGCTTTTTGTAGCTCAGCACTAAAACACACCAACCCTCTCCCATATTCATATCCTCTCTAAGATGGGATGGTAAACCAAACCAAAGGTTACAATAGGCCAACTTTGGCCTGCAAGCCTTACTTTGGGCAACTCTGCTCTATATATACCGAGTCAATACAGGACAACCTGGGGACTCATCACACCTCCAACTTTAAACCCCATTTTAGACATGTTATCCACAAAAGGCAGAAGTATTCTTTCCATTCATCAAATTCTGTTAAAAACGACTCTCTCGAACCAGTCCTTACTTCATACACACTTCATACTCTTTTATCCAGTATCTCAGAGTTTATCGTGGGGCCATTAATGAAATGTTGCTGAATGAAAGTAAAACTGCTGAACTGCAGTTGAAGTCAAAATTTTTTTATAATTATTCACCAGAAATTTTATGAAAAGATGATGTAATGACATTAATCTATCAATGTGTTATAACATGTAAAACGGGAAGATAAAAAGATTCTAAAATCAAATCGTATACACACATTAATCATATTATAGTCTTATTCAGATTAGGTCAATAATTAGATTGCTGAAGTCCATGTAAGCGTAGTCTGTGTGCAAATGTATCACAACAACTCCAAAAGAGAAGTACACAGCATCTCCCTGAGTCTAATTTGACCTATTGCAGTTCATCATTGGTCCAACTCCAGAAACTCTGAGCCTATCTAAAGTTCCACAAATTTAGAAGGACAGTAGAGAGTGAACAAAGATGGAAATGGGCAAGGAACAACAAAAGCAAAAACCCCTGGCACACATCATTCATACAGACACATAGAACATGCATAATTCATATTTAAATGAGTTATTTACAGTTTAATATTTACAAACACTAATCCACACTAGGGCAGCACGATACTGGAGAAAAACTTGCATTGTGAAATGTTCACTTATTGTGATTTATTTTGTGCTATTTCACTTTAATAATTTGATTGATTTGAATGGATTTTGTAGGCAAGTGCATTTGCATAAAATATAATAAACAATCTACAAGCAGAGATAACGTTGAGTAAATATACAATTGAAGGCGTCTAAAACGATACAGGTACGAAAATCAAACTATCAAATGTGTCATTAAGCTGTATAATCTTCATTGTGTAAATAAGTATAATTACTGTTTGTTAAAGCTACAATAGTTAATAGTATAATGGCTAATAGTTCATTTGTTTTAATGTTTTAAACTCCCTTGAAATGTTTACAGAGGCTTTAATCATGTCAGTTATGTTAACCTGAAAAGACTACAAATTGATCATGTCTTCTAAACATTTGTACCTGGTCATCTGCAATCCTGGCTCCATATTGCACATCTTGTAATGTCACTATTGCAGATTAGCACATTGTGATATCGGTGCTAAAATGATATCTTGTCCATCCCTAGTCAACACCTCAAACTGATTGAGGGTTCAGTCCAGCTTCTGATTAATCACCTAAAATTTGCCAAGTTCAGTGACATTCTATGATGTCTGCTAAAGTTCCTTGATTCTTTCTGCAGTTTTTGTACTGCATGCTTGAACTTTCAAGGGTGTAAAAAATGGATTTATGGCTACTTTTTATAGTTCATTGACTTATCTTAATGTATAGAGACATCTATATCTGAATATTAGAAGCCAAGATTTTCTACACTCACCAATAATTACAGGTGATTTAAAGATGGAAAATGGCTTAGCTGCAATGGTGACTTGACAACAATGTTTTGGAATCAGTCTGCCTAAAGAATATTAGATATTTACAGCTGAAGCCCATGCTTTACTTTTAGCTTTGGAATATATATAAAATGTTGAACATAAGAACATTTTTACAGACTCCAAAACATGCCTCCAAGTCATGGAATCTTCAAAAAAGTAACATCCTTTGATAGTATTTTAACTTAAGTTCATCTACAAAATCAGTTTTACCCTATCATTTTTGCTGGTTTCCAGGACTTGTTGGGCTTCCAGGAAATGAGCAAGCTTATGCAGCTGCTAAGGACGCTTTAAAACTTGTAGTGAACAAATGCTAAATTCCTCCTTCAGCGATGAGACCTTTTATCAACGTATACATTTCGAATACATGGCAGGAGTAGTGGGATGCGTTGGAAAATAATAAAAATGCAATCTCCAAAAACGTTTTAAGACTTGTTGAATTGGACATAAAGATTAACCCATGCCTTTTTGCTTGATGATGAAGACCCCACTGAATGTTTGTACTGCTTAACTCATAAAACATATTTTACTGGACTGTCCTGCTTTTAATGATTCCAGAATGCTTTTTTTTTTTAATGAAATTAACTCTGTTAAGGACATTTTTAACAAAGTGAGAGCAGGAAATATTTTACAATTTTTATCATTTATAAACACTAAACATTTGATTTAATTTATATATTTATTTTTTTGTTTGTTGTTTTTGGTTGTATATTTACGATTGAAAGGTTTTTGCCTTGAAAATAGTCGTTTGCCGACATAGCATTAAATAAAAATATTGATGTAAAAATACATTTGGCGTAAATGCTTTCTAACAAACGTTTCTTTTGTAAATGACGATGTAAGGCTTTTTTCCGTTCATAGGATTCTTTGTTTAATCTACAGACATTTTGTGCTCCATTAGAACAGTAAAAATGAAAAATATTCTAAGATCAACTCAATACTCAGATTAGAAAACAAAAATATTCAGATTGTTTCTACAAAATTAATATTAATATGGATAATTGTTTTTTATAACACTTGGTGGTTAAAGTGCAACAGTTGTCAGGTCTTACAGGGCTGATGTTGAGTCTGAATTGCGCTGAGAAGTGTCTAATACAGTGTACAAAACAAAATGATCATCAGTGACATTCATTAGTTGTTAAATGTGTTTTAAGGGTAAATACAAATTTATTTGAAAGTGTTAAATCTAGCTGTACAGATTAAAATATCCAAATCTTATGTTCTTCCTCAGTGACTTATAAAGTACAGCCATTGTAATCCATGCAAAGCAAGAACACCAGGTTTTCTTATTGAGAATACAATCACAGGACTACAAGTGAACAGGGTTTATTAAAGTCATGAATTTCAAAAATGTAAGCTTTAGACCTTAAAGTCTTAAATTCGCTGAAGTACTATGTTGTAGGTCTTAAATCATTTTAAACATGTTTTGATTGTCCTATGTCCGCGTAAAGCTATCCAATCCAGCCAACACCCATGCAATCACTATCATTCCATCTCAAAAGTTTCAAAAAAAGTTTATTTAATAACTTTTATAATAACACTATTTATCAACTCTGTTTCTATTTATAAACATATGGTTTAATTATCTTTCTTACATTTGTTTTTAATGATTTTTTAAATGTTTTAACTGGGTCATTTTATTGTCTTGCAATGTTCAACACTTTGGTCTGAGAAAAGCGCAATTATAAATTAAATGTATTATTATTGTGTCATTAGAAAAAATTCCTTAATGTTTAGCCTTGCGTTAGTCTGAAATGTCATTATAATGGTCTTAAAGTCTTAAAATTGAAGTAAAGGTTAACTCTTTCTTCTGTAGAACACACAACTTGAGTAAAACTTTAGCGAGTTAGAAAATATATGATAGCAATGTTCATTAAAGAAATAGTTCACACAAAATTGAATTGCCTGTTACTCAAGTTCTTCTAAATCAAACTTTGATTTTTTTTTTTTGTTGTTGTTGTTGAACACAAAAGCAAGATATTCTGAAGAATAAAAAAACAGTATTTGACATCAATAGTAGGAACAAAAATGCAATGGCTTAGTGTTCAACAGAAAAAAACTAACTTAAACCAGTGTAAAACAAGTGGAGTAATGACAATATTCATTTTTGGCTAAACTTTCCCATTAGAAGTATTGTATTATTATTATTATTATTATTTTTTTTGGTTTGTGTTTTATACCAAACAATTATCCTGCAGCTTACCTTCCAGTCATGCAGACATTCTGATAGTATGGTATACTTATACTATTTTTGCCTTTCAATTAACAGGCGGATGCTCCAAACTGTTCCCTAATACCAGAGACTGATGCTGTGGGTGTCACTGTCGTTCTGATCACGTGCACATACAGAGGACAGGAGTTCATACGCATCGGCTATTACGTTAACAATGAGTATACGGACACTGAGCTTCGTGAGAACCCACCACTTAAACCTAACTATGGACAGGTGAGCCAACACGATTTAATGAGTCAACATGATATTACCATTTTTCATTAGTCTAGTCACAAGTGATTAGCTGGGACTTATTACGCTTTCTACTTCACAGTGAAATGCATTTAAAATGTGTTTTCATACCTTTTTGTAATCATTATTCCATTCAGTTTTATATTTAAACATTTTCTTATGTAAAAATTATACCAGATGAAAAACTCCTGCTTTGTTACTTGCTGATCTTGTATGATTAACCACAATGTGTATTTGCGTTTTTATATTACAATAGAGAAGAAAGGTTGGTTGAAAATATTTGGTGTATGTTTGTATATTAAACGTTACATAATATTTTTTCATAATTATGGCTTTTACGTGAACTTGGCTATTGGCTGTTTTAAATAGTTACCGGCCACTTTATAAGGTACACCTGTCCACCTGCTCTTTAATGCAAATTTCTAATCAGCCAATCACAAGGCAGCCACTCAATGCATTTAGGCATGTAGAGATGGTCAAGACGATCTGCTGCAGTTCAAACCAAGCACGTTGCCTGGTCTGATAAGTCTTGATATTTACTGCCACTGCTGGATTGTCAGGTCAATTTGCCGTTAATGACATGAATGCATGGATCCATCCTGCCTTGCATAAACGGTTGTGTAGTGATGTAATGGTGTGGGGATATTTTCTTGGGACACTTTGGGCCCATTGGTACCAATTGAGCATTGTGTCAATGCCACAGCCGACCTGAGCATTGTTGCTGACCACGTCCATCCCTTTATGACCACAGTGATCTTCTGATGGCTGTTTCCAGCAGGATAACGCACCATATCATAAGGTGTGAATCATCTCAGACTGGTTTCTTGAACATGACAATGAATTCACTGTACTCAAATTGCCTCCACAGTCACTAGATCTCAATGCAATAGAGCACTTTTGGGATGTGGTGGAACGGGAGATTCACATTATGGATGTACAGCCGACAAATCTGCAGCAACTGCGTGATGCTATCATGTCAATGTGGACCAAATCTCTGAGGAATACTTCCAGTACTTTGTTGAATCTATGCCACAAAGGGTTAAGGCAATTCTGTTGGCAATATGTGGTCTAACCTGGTGCTAGTAAGGTGTACCTAATAAAGTGGCCGATGAGTGTATATGTGCTCTTTAAAATGTCTGTTTTATATGAAGTAAATAAAAACAATGCACAGCCCTTTTTCTAGATCTTTAATAGTATTTCAGTGTCAATGGAAAGAAATGTCATGCTCAAAAAGGCTGCTATCTGTGTTTTTAATCAAAGAAAAATCAGCACCACAACAAGTGTATAATGACTTACAACAATAGAAAAAAAATAGTGACTTTAACACATTCCCATGTACATGGTCGCATAAATCCACGTGTATGGTTAATAATTACCAGTGCCTTAGATGTCATTTAAAAACCGACAAATGTATTTATTGTTATTAAATGAAATGATTTCTTTGATCATACAATAGTGTTATTACCATGGTAATGGTTAGCTTAATAATAACAACAATATTTTATTAGCGCATCATCATAGTACATGATAAAACAACAGTATGATTGTGGCCTGAAATGACTAAAGATAAGTTTTTTTAAAAATTGTATAAAAAAACTACTTAGTCCAATTAGCTGAAGTTTTTTTTTATTTGTGATATTTTACAAAAATTCCCTAAGAGCATTAAATAGTTTAAAAAGTTCTAGTCTGCATGTGTATTTAAATGCATCTTTATTTGCCCTCTCTCAGCTCCAGAGGAACATTCTGGCTTCAAACCCACGTGTAACCAGGTTTCACATCAACTGGGAGGGATGTGCTGAGAAAATGGAGGATTCTGAGAACGTGGACCCTGCACCAAACGCCATGCTGCCCCCATCCTGCACCCCAGGAAAAGCACCTCTGCTCGGCCTGGTGCCAGACAACTCCATGGACTGTTTGTAGTGACGCAGACTCCTGTGAATAATCCTCACATCTCAAGGCTCATCCATGAGCTCAGGTCAATCTGGACACTGTGGAGGAGAGGCGGGATTATTCAAACGTATCACAAATAAAAGCTTTATCTAATTGTGTTTCAGTCAGCACGCCTTATTGGTTCCAAATGAGTGCTGTGCAGAATTCTTTAGATGCTTTCAGCATGCAATAAAGATGTTTGCTTTTCAGTTTGAAACATGAGTGAGTCATGAATCTAAGACCCAATTCAGGAATTAGGATGTGCTGAATCTAATGATCCAAAACCAATCCATTCATCTAAACCGAAAGGGGGTGGGAGATCAGCGCACTAGATAAGATGTCAGATGCGCAACTAATTTAACAGACGCAAACAGCAGTACTTTTGTAAAGGACATTTATTTTTGTATTATATTGTGTGTGTGTGTGTGTGTCTGTATATATACTTGTCTGTGTCTTTTTGTATCCGGTTCTCATTGAAATAAATGATTTGTAACGTGACACTCAAGTTGTTTTATTTTGATTTGTAATGTGCACAGAGTGGAAGCAGGTCTTTTCATTCATAAAAAGCTGTTGTGTTGCATTATGCAGGAGTTCGTGTTTGGAGTGACAGAAGCTGCTTGTTTCTTGTTGCTTGGCAACATGGACCATCGCAGCATCTGTGACCAGATCTCGAAGTGTTCTCGGTTTTGGTTATTAAATGATGTTCAGCCGATATCAGTGTGGAGCTTTTACCCCGCGTATATTTTATTGTACAGCATCATTGATGCAGTTGCTATGCACAGTCAAGCATGCGACGTGCTCTCATTACTCGTTTTCCGTCTCCTGCATGACAAACCCAATCATTGTAACTGAGCGCGCGAATTGGTGGCCGAAATGCAATGCATATACCTGCGTAAACGACCTCAGTCTGGTTGTTTCGCAGAAGACTGAGCTGCTTTTAATATTCCACAGACGTAGGGAGCCTCAAATTCTGCGTGCCTCAAATTCTGACCAACTTTCTAAAAATAGCATGTCTTTTTTGACGTCATACAGCCTATCACGGATTAGCCTAGCGGGAGGGGTCTGCGCGGCCATTTCGCTAACAAACACGCCGCAGAGGATCATCAAAGGATTGTGAATGAAGCCAATTCTGCACCGAGAAAGCAAAACGCCGCGCCCGCTTGCAAATACGCAACGGGAACACAACAAAAACTTGTGTTAATGAAATGAAAATAGATGACGTTATTTGTCAGTTTGCGGGGGTGGGATAAAATCCTACAGACATATATGTGCTGGCCAATCATCGTGCTACCTGTACGAGATTGCTGACCTCTCGTCCAATCAACTTGGCGCTCTGATAGAGCGTCACAAGCACAGCGGCCAATAGTTATCGCTGAAGCAGGAGTTCCCTCTAGCTGTGGAGAGAGGATTAATGGAGGGGGTCTGACTGTCGAATTATGCGAACTACATAGTGCACAAGACCGAATTGCTTTAACAACGTAAACAAGCAAACGATCACGCTACCGAAAAGGTACGGCGAAGACGGCGTGCAGCGATAGAAATCGCGCACGGACGGTGAAAACGAGGGCTTGTGTCGCTCAAGAGGAAAGTCGAGGGCCTCGCTCAGGGTTAGCAGAGCGAGGAAGAGGAGCGAGAGAAGGAGAAGAAGACGGGCTCTTCGTCTTATTTTAGCGGACTGGACCCGACCCAGGAGCACTGAAGGACATTACCGAACCCCAAGCGCTGCAATCAGACAGCTACTGTTAGCTAGCTAGCGCTGGCTAGCTAGCTAACCAACTAACCAGCTACTATCATCAAGCTTCAGACTTTATGTGATCTGACAGCATACTGTGATCCAGCGAGTTATGATCAGACACAGCTAGTGCGACGCCCGCAGAAATCGTATGATCAGCAAGGGGACGGAGTCTTAAGACAGTTGGCGTAAAGAAAAGTCGATTTAGATCTGCTATACCTGGCCTGCAATCATGGGCAACGCGCCCACCGCCAAGAACAAGGGCAATGAGATGGAGAGCGGTAAGTGCTTGTGTGTTTACTTGAATTAGTCACACTCAGACTGGGTTTCAAAGCACAGTGAGCCGCCTGGTTGATCTTGGCCATTCATTTTTTTTACTGGATGAATGACTAACATGAACTGACTGACATCATGAAGACGGTTCACCCATAAATAGCAAATCTGCTGTTTACTATTGCTGCTGTTCTTCTAAAACTGTACGATCTCCTTATGGGCTCCACAGAAGCAAATGACAGCAGTCACAATTACTTTTAAAAGAAAACCTGATACAACAATAGTCACTAGTGAGATTTCTGCCTCACTTATTCATGCTAGGCTGAGGCTCCTATATGATCTTGGAAGACCACACACTTGCATCACTTTCACTCAGTGCTGACATGTTACAGTTGAATGTGATTGTCAAACTCGCCTTGCCCTTGATTGTGACACTGAGAACAAGTATTGAAATCAAACATATCACAAAACAATATCTTGTTATTTTTCCACGCTTCAACATTTCCTTTGCAACTAGTCATAATCATAAACTATAACTATTTAACTAGTTTCTGAATTTACAGGTGCCAATGGTTACTGTAAAATCTCATTACATTTTCCATGTTTTATTTAAAGTTAGTTTAAAGTGTTTTTCAGCATGACAATTGGCATTGGAGAGTGAATCTAACCAAGCTTTTTAAGGATTATTATTATTATTTTCATTATTATTATTATTATTATTTTCTTGAACTTTTTTCTGGTGAATCTCTTTATGTTTTTGTAAGAATGTTGCACAAGCCATTAACCGGGAAGGTTGCAATACTTGTTGAACTCATTTATGATGCGCATTAGGGCTGGGCGATTTGGCCTAAAATCAAAATCTCGATTAATTAAACATTTTAACTCGATTGCGAATAATGAACAAATATATAATTTTTTTGGCATCATAGTTTACAGACAAATTTTGTGAATATGCTTGCATATTACGAGAGCTTTTTGAAAGACTTAATTTCTTACTTAATTTCATGTTAATTGAAGGAAACACACACTATCTACTATCAATGAATATTTATTTAACATCAGCGTTGAACAACTGAAATTAAAACAGATTATTTTCTAAATCAGTGGCGTATATTTATTTATATTTATATATGTGCAATAGATTTTATGTGCGAGCAAAGAGATTCGCATGCACGTATTGCATACAATGCTCTCTCAACTTGTGCAGCAGGGTCAGGTGACTTCGTAGTAAAAGTAATCAAAAAAATTGAGCTGAAAAAATTAGATCCATTATAGGTTCAGAATGTCGATTTTGATTACTTTTCGGTTAATTGCCCAGCCCTATGCTTATATATTATCTTTAAGTTAAAGCGAGAAAATTTTCAATTAAAGAAATTGTTCACCTCAAAATTGTCATTCCAGACCTTTTTGTTTTTATTTAAAAGCAAAGATACTTGCTTTTTTTCTCCCCATACAGTGAAATTAATTGGACACTATGCATAAGATTCCGACGGTGTGATAACCTTCGATAAAAATATCACAATTTCACGGAATGACAGTATTGTTATTACTGCTCTAAAATATGTTCTTTTTAAATGCCTGTTTAAAAAAACAAAACATTTTCCAATTTGAACACAATATATTTTATTTTGAGAAACATTTATAATATTCTGGAGCAGTAAACATGTTAGGCTAAATAATTCAAATAAATCATTGACTTCTGCTCTTGTTTTAAAAACACAATTTTTTTTACAATTTAAAACTTTAAAACGGCATCTTTGGATATTTTTTTGTGCTGGAGATACTGTTGTCATAAAACATAAAAACATAAATAAAAAGTCTTACATATACCGTAGTAACTGTATTAAAAAAACATTTGGCGGTTTTAAAACCTTAACTTTTCCAAACCACAGTATACCTTGAAAACGATTATCGTCTCATGCCTATTGGACACTAGGGTTGTTGATCACCACCAATATTAAATTGCACTTTCCATATGAATTAAAATACCCCCTCTATTAGGGCTTGGTGATTTAATCGAAAGGTAACCTAAATCGACATTCAAAACCTGTAATCCATTAAAATTTTCCAGGACAATCTTTTCAATTACTTTCCCTACTGGGTATGTGACCCCGCTCAGTTAAAGCTGAATTACACTTTTTATGCTATGATTTATTCTTTTTATATTATTTTAAAATTATACTTCTACCATGGGCTCGTGTACAGTCCGGCGCAGCCTTCGCATACCCGGGCACCAGTCAAAAAATGTTCTTATTCGTCACAACAACGAGTAGCGCAAGCTTTGTGATTGGTCCGTTTGGTAGCGGTGATAAGAGTGGGTGGCGCAGAGAGCCACGTTTTGGGCAATGTGTTTTAATTTCAGTTGTTCAGCGTTGATGTTCAATAAATAATCATAGATAGCAGATAGTTATGCACCCTATTTTCAAAAATCTCTCACTTGTAAAATGTGAGCAGATTTACGGTACAAAACTTGTCAGTGGACTATGAGGGAAAAAAAGTTAAAATAAATAAATAAATACAACAATCGTTCATTAATCGTAATAGAGTTAAAATGTTCACTTAATTGAGATTTTGATTTTAGGCCAAATCGCCAAGCCCTACCCTCTGTTGCAGATCTTCTCATTTGTTGTTTTACCTTGGCGTATATATGCAAATATGCCCACTCAAATACATGTTGGTTATGCCAATTTAATTTATTTACTTTTTTTTTTTAATGAAGCGTTGTATAGTAATAACGATAAACAATTCTTGAGAGTCTGTAATGGGTGCTATTAGAATGAGCCTATAAATCAGACTATAAAAGCCAAAAATATTTTTGTATAGGTTCTTGTAGACCATTTTGAGGGATGTAAACAACAACAATGGTCCCAACGTATTTCTTGTATTACATTTTTAATTTCTACAGCTTCTGAGAATCCAAAAATTGATATGTAATATATTGTAACATATTGATAAATAATGTTATGATAACTGTTTTAACATTAAGTTACGATTGAATTGCCTCGTTACAGTTATGAAATAGTTTTATAGCTTTGGGTCAATGATATAATCACATTGAAATACCCTAATAGACCCAACTTATTTCCTGTTTTACATTTTTAATTTCTACAGCTTCCAAGAATCCAAAAAGAGCCACATATTGATAAATAATGTTATGATAGCTGTTTTAACATGAAGTTACGATTGAATTGTCTCGTTGCGGTTTTAGAAAAGTTTTATAGCTTTGGGCCAATGACATGACCACATTGAAGTGGTCTATTGTAATATTTAGATTTTGAAGTCATGATATAGTTATTAATGCTGATTCCAAGAAAACCATTTTGTTTTTCCAAATAACGTTAATAAGTTGATCTGCTTTAGAATGAATCAGTTGAGTTTCAATGATCCATTCATAAAGACAGTCGCCTGCTTCTCTTATAAATGAAACGTATCATGAAATCGTAAAAGTGATTGATTCAACAAAACGCCCCTTCTGGCAGTTTTATTGTCGTCA